TCTCAGGAGCCACCCCGGAATAAGGCCCTACAAATGTGGAGAGTGCGGAAAGCGTTTTGCTGAAGGCTCGGATCTTGGAGTCCATCAGCGAATCCACCGGGGAAGGGAGCCTCAGGAATGCCGGAAGCGCCAGAAACGTTTTCCTGCGAGATGGTGTCTTTATAAGCCTCAGAACAGCCCAACTGAAGAGAAGCCCTGCAAGTGTGTGCAGTGTGGGCTGTCCTTTTCTCAAACATCTGAGCTTCTAAAACATCAGCAAATCCACACCGGAGAGCAACCTTATAAATGTCTGGAGTATGGCAAATCATTTAATGAAAAATTGATCCTTAAGAACCATGAAAAGATTCACATAGGAGAGAAACCTTACAAGTGCTGGCAATGCGGGAAGGGCTTTACTCAGAAGTCACAGCTTTGGGTCCATGAGAAAATTCACACAGGAGTAAAACCTTATAAATGCTTTGAATGTGGAAAAAGTTTCACTCGAAGTCCATGTCTTTGGAGTCATAAGAAAACACACAAGGGGCATAAAAATGAAAAGTGCCTAGAATGTGGGAAATCTTTTTCCAGAAAATCAACTCTGGTGCGACATCAGAGAATTCATACCGGAGACAGACCCTATGAATGCCCAGAATGTGAGAAACGATTTGTGGATTCTTCTAAACTTCGAAGACACCAGATGAGGCACAAAGGAGAGAAATTCTATAAATGTGAAGAGTGTGAGAAATGCTTTTCTTGGAAGCCACATCTTGGTTCACACCAGTGTGTCCACATGGGTAAGAAACCATACAAGTGTATAGAATGTGGGAAATGTTTTGCTCAAAAGGCAGGCCTTTGGGAACATCAGAATATTCACACAGGGGAGAAGCACTATCAATGCATCGAGTGTGGAACATTTTTTCGTACAACATCTGGTCTCAGACGTCATGCGAAAGTTCACACAGGGGAAAAGAATTACAAATGCTTAGACTGTGGGAGAGCATTTGCTTATTCCTCATCCCTTAGAAATCACAGCCGCCTCATGCATATTGGAGAGACACCCCATAAATGCTTGGAGTGTCATAAATATTTTTCCAGGAAAGCAACTCTTTTAAAGCATCAGAGAATTCATACTGGAGAAAAACCTTATCAGTGTCTCGAGTGTGGGAAATCTTTTCCTCAAAAAGAAAATCTTAGAAACCATGAGAGACTTCATACAGGAGAGAAACCTTACAAGTGTGCGCAATGTGGGAAAGGCTTTTCTTGGAATTCAAAGCTTAAAGTGCATGAGAAGATTCACACAGGAATAAAACCTTATAAATGTTTTGAGTGTGGAAAAAGTTTTACTCAAAGTTCATCACTTTGGAGTCATAAAAAAACACATAATGGGCAGAAAAATGAAAAGTGCCTAGAATGTGGGAAATGTTTGTCCACCAAATCAAGCCTGGTGCGACATCAGAGAATTCACAGTGGAGACAGACCCTATGAATGCCCAGAATGTGAGAAACGATTTTTGGAGTCTGCTGAACTTCGGAGACACCAGAAGGGGCACCGAGGGGTGAGGCCGTATAGATGTGAGGAGTGTGGGAAAAGTTTTATTTCGCTAGCACAGGTTCAGATTCATCAGCGAATCCACACAGAGAAGCTATACAAGTGTGGCGAGTGTGGGAAATGTTTTTCCCAAAAACAATATCTTGGAAGGCATCAAAGGGTCCATACAGGAGTGAAGCCATACAAGTGTGTCGAATGTGGGAAATGTTTATCCACCAAATCAAACCTGGTGCGACATCAGAGAATTCACAGTGGAGACAGACCCTATGAATGCCCAGAATGTAAGAAACGATTTGTGGAGTCTGCTGAACTGCGGAGACACCAGAAGGGGCACAGTGGAGAGAAGCCGTATATATGTGGGGAGTGTGGGAAAAGTTTTATTTCGCCAGCACAGGTTCTCATTCATCAGCGAATCCACACAGGGGAGAAGCCGTACAAATGTGGGGAGTGTGGGAAATGCTTTTCCCGAAAACAGCACCTTGGAAGGCATCAGAGGGTCCATTCAGGAGTGAAGCCATACAAGTGTGTAAAATGTGGGAAATGTTTTCCTCAAAAAGAATATCTTAGAAACCATGAGAGACTTCACACAGGTGAAAAACCCTATAAGTGTGAGCAGTGTGGGAAGTGCTTTCCTCAGAACTCACAGCTTTGGGTCCATAAGAAGGTTCACACAGGAATAAAATCTTACAAATGCTTCGAGTGTGGAAAATGTTTCACTCGGAGTTCAACTCTTCGGAGCCATGAGAAAACACACAGAGGAGAGAAAAAGAAAAAGTGCCTAGAATGTGGAAAATGTTTTTCCCAGAAATCACACCTGGTGCGACATCAGATAATTCATCAGAGAATGCAGAGACAGAATGTGAGAAACAATTTGTGGACTTCAGAGACACCAGCACAGACGATGGAAGCCGTATAAATGTGTTGAATGTGGGAAGAGTTTTATGTCAGCAACGTAGGCTCTCATTCATCTCTGAATCCACACAGGGTAGAGGTCATACCAATGTGTCAAGTGTGGAAAATGCTTGCTCAAAGGCAGGACTTTGTGAACATGAGAAAACACACACAAGGGAGAAACCTTAACAATGCACTGAGTATGGAATTTTTTTTCATAGCACATCAGCCCTTAGAAGTCATATAAAAGTTCACATAGGGGATAAAATTACAAATGTTTAGGCTGTGGGAGAGCATTTGCTTCTCAATCATCCCTTAGGAATCACAGCTTAATCCATGCAGGAGAGAAGCCCCATAAATTCTTAGAATGTGATGAATATTTTGCCTGGGAAACTACTCTTTTGAAGCATCAGAGAATTGTTACCAGTTAAAAACCTTATGAGTGCCTAGAACGTGGCAAACATTTTACCTGATAATCAGATTTTCAGGTGCAGATAGGAAATCACACAGGATGGAAGCCTTGTAAGTATATAGAGTGTGGGATTTTCTTGCCTATCAAATCTTAATATGCACCAGAGAATCCATACTGGAGAAAAGCCCTTCAGTTGTGAACAATGTGGGAAATGTTTTTCTCAAAAGCCACACGTTAATGTTCACCAGAACATTCACTCAGTAACAAAAGTGAAATCCTATAAATATTTGATGTGTGGGAAATGTTTTTCACAATCAGGAAACCTTCAATTGCAACAGAATTATAAAAAAATACATCAATGTTGGGAGTGTAGTGAATGTTTTGATTAGGAAGCAGCATTAGTGACTCATCAGAGAGTAATGAAAAGCCAAAAGACAAACAATATGAAAATGGAAGACCAAATAGAAATGGATGGATGACAATAGATGGAAAAATGTGGTTTTACGATTGAGACACGATAAAACACTTGGGTATTATTCTGACTAATATGAATTCTATGTTCAAAATAATTCTCTGAAGGCATGGAGTGAAATCAAGAAGGATATGCTAAGATGGGAAAAATTAGAATTTTCATTGTTGGGGAGAATTTCTGTGATAAAAATGGATGTATTACCTAGAATGATGTTTCTGTTTCTAACAATACCTATCTTGACAACTGATGCACCCTTTAAGCAATGGCAGGAAGATATATCTAGGTTTATATGGCAAGGGAACAAACTGAGAATTAAATTTAAAACTCTTCAAGACGCAAACGAAAGAGGAGGATTGGGATTGCCTGTGTGGAGATTGTACGTTGCAGCCTCCTGTTTGGTTTGGACAAAAGAGTGGGTTTTGCTGAGAAATAAGAGAATATTGAAACTAGAAGGGCACGACCTGAGGTTTGGATGGCATGGTTCGTTATGGTACGATAAAGTGAAGGTTAATGTAGACTTTAAAAGTCATTATCCTTGAAGTGCAATATTGAGAATATGGAATAGATGTCAACCCAGGCTGTGCTGAAAACGCCTTTGTGGGTCTCGACACAAGAAGCATTTTATAGAAAAGAAACAGCAGGCAAAGAGTAATGGTTAAAATATTGGGAGTTGTCAGAACAAGAACATGGAGAATAGAAGATGAAGTGAAGAGATCAACTGACTGCCAATGGATTTAGTTATCAGTGGTCTTGATTTGTACACATAAGAGAAAGATTTAAAGTAGAGAAAAGGACATTTGGAACTGAACAACAAAAGACAGAACTTGAAACTGAATTACTGTATGTGCAAATGATGAACTTGTATTTGCTGAAATGTATAAGCTTTTACTGAAATTTGAAACAGAAGAACAATTTAAAGAGTGTGTGATAAAATGGGCCAAGACCTTTGGTTAGAATGTACAGATGGAAGAATGTGAAAATATGTTGCTGAAAGGACTGACATTCACATTATATTACAATTTAAAGGAGAATTTTTATAAAATGATGTACTGTTGGTATATGATACCAGAAAAAATTATCTAGAATGTAAAAAGATACTTCAAAACTATGTTGGAAACATGAAAAACATGAAGGGTCTTTTTATCATGCTTGGTGGGCTTGTTAAAAAGGTGGACAATTTTGGGTTCAAATACATATAGTGATACAAGGCATTTTAAATATTAATATTGAACTGAAAGCAGACCTTTTCTTGCTGGGACTAATGGACAGAAAACTAGAAAAGACTTATGGTAGTTTGTTTTTGTACACGGTGACTGTGTCAAGATTATTATATACAGAAAGACGGAAAGACAGTGAAATACCCACAAGGGAGGAATGATTGGCAAAGATGACAGCATATGCCGAAATGGCAAAATTGACTTGTCTGATTAGGGAAAAGACAATAACTACCTTTATTCGTGACTGGAAACCCTTTATGGGCTTTTTGCTGAAAATGGAAAAAAATGACCTTGTGATTTATGGGTTTGATGATTAGAAAGGGTAGAATATGGAAAGAAGGGAGTTTTGATGTAACCTTAGAGAAAGAGAAAAAAATATAATTGCATTTATAACTGCTGTGAAGAAAATTGGAAGCCCCTCCCTTATAACTTTTTTCTTTTTTTTTCTTTTCTGTCTCTTTTATTTCTTTATTTATCACTTTTCTTTCTTTTTCCTAAATTTGTATTGTTTTTATTCTGTAATTCCTGGACACTTGGACTTTTTAAGAGTTGCTTTGAATTTCTTTACCATCAATAACTTGCTGGAAATTGTGGGAAATGGTGGTGATGAGAGCAACAGCAGATTTTTTTTGTTGGTTTAAAGATTGCGTACCGCTTCCAATAAATTTTAATGGGTTTGCTCTTTCCTGGACGGTGTTATAGTTGTCATTGTGAATGTTTGTGATGTGTGCTGAGGAACTCCAGGATCATTTTGATCTTGTCTTTCGGGGACAAGGAACCAAGTGTGAAGTCCATAACCTCTTACCCGTATTTCATGACTTACAGTTTAATGGGCCGTTTGGAGATTTTCTCTCTATAGTGATTTTTCAGAAACATGGATACATCTCAGGAGCCAACCTGGATTAAGGTCTTACAAATGCAGAGAGTGTGGAAAACGTTTTGCTAAAGGTTTGGACCTTGGAATCCATCAGCGAATCCACCAGAGAAAGGCTTCAGGAATGCCAGAAGTGCCGCAGAAGTTTTCCTGAGAGAGGGTGTCTTTCTAGGATTCAGAACAGCCCAACTGAAGAGAACCCTGCAAGTGTGGGCTGTGCTTTTCTCAGAACATCAGAAAGTTTACCAAAGCAGAAAAATGTAGAAATGCTTGCAACGTAGCAATTTGTTGGATTGTCAATCGGGCCTCGGGAGCCAGCAAGGAATCCAGAAAAAGATAGACCGCATGAATGTTGGGAGTGCAGGAAACATTTCCCCCCAAAATACTATCCTGGCATGCAGGAAAGAGTTCACAGAGGAGAGAAACTCTATCGATGCTTCAAGTGTGGCAAATCTTTCCCCCAGTCATCTAGGTTTTGTATACACCAAAGCGTCCACACAGGAGAGAAACCCCACACATGTTCGGAGTGTGAGAAATGCTTTCCAGAGAAGTCAGGGCTACATAGACACCATAGATCCACACGGGAGAAATCACACATTTGCCTGGAGTGTACAAAATCATTAGCTCATAATGAGACTCTTGTAAGACATTTGTGAGTCCACACAGGAGAACAGCCTTAGCAATGTTTGCAGTGTGGAAAATGTTTTGCACAAAAATCTCTTAATAAACCCAAAGGAGTTCATAATTCATAATGACCAAAAAATGGTGCTGGCCCACCAAGGCTTATCTTATGGAAGGACGTGCTTTTGTGATCCAGAAATATCCAGCTGTTTTTCTTGTTTCCTTAGAAACACTTTGATCCCCCCAACTGGAGCTCATCTGCTGGTTGGAAAGGGAAGAACTAAGTGATCGATGCCTCCAGGAAAGAAAGAAATCGGGTACGATAGTTGTCGAGATGGGCATGTCCTGTTGGGCTGGGTCACCTCCTGGCCCATTTTTGCCTGTTCTGATACAGGACTGGTATCCTGACTTCATTTATTTGGGCTCCAAGATCACTGCAGACGGAGACTGCATCTATGAAATTAAAAGACGCTTGCTCCTTGGGAGGAAAGCTATGGCAAATCTAGACAGCATATTGAAAAGCAGAGACATCACCTTGCATCACTGAAGCAATGAGCATGAAACTGAGCAAACTCAGGGAGGGAATGAAGGACAGGAAGGCCTGGCGCGATGTGGTTCATGGGGTCATGAAGAGTCGGATACGACTTAACAACTGAACAACAACAACTGGGTCAGGACGTGGCAGTTAAATTATTGCTCAGAAATGTCCTTAAGGTTCCGAATTGAGAGAAAACAGTAAGTTCTGGCATTTCTCTTTATTGCAGGATGGGAAAAGGAGAGCAAGGAGGGTTTTTATGAGAGGGAGAGAACCAAGCCTCAAGATACCAGAGATCTTTGTGAAGGAAGATGGAGCGAAGTTATCAGTTGCAAAGGAAGCAGCAAAGCAGAAGGACAGATTCCTTTGCCCTCAGGATGTGGAATTTCACGAAATCTCATTCCATCAGGAATATTACAAAGGCAGGAGGAAGAATGAATGCACGGTGTGTGGTCAAATCTTCACTCATCAAGTTGAGCCTTGTGACTCACCAGAGAATTCACACCGGGAAGAGACCCTATCTATGCACAGTGTGGCAAGACCTTCAATCGAAGAACGAGGCTTACCTTGCATCAGAGGTTGCACATGGGGGAGAAACTCTATAATTGTTCAGACTGCAGCAAGAGCTTTTGTGAAAAATCAAGTCTTAATGCTCACTGGAGAATTTACACAGGAGAGAGGCTTTATGAGTGCTCAAACTGTGGGAAAACTCTCAGCCATAACTCCAACCTGATTGCTCACCAGAGAATTCATACAAGACCAAAGCCTGGTACTCCAAAGGTACTCCATCTTTCTCTCTTCAGTCAAAGCATCTCTCAGAGGAGAGGATTTGTGCTGGAAGGGATCTGGGCAGTTCCTCAAACTTTAGCAATAGTATTTGCAAGGAAAGATTTACTAAACATTCGGAAATGGATACAGAAGAGGAAACATGCAAATATTTTGACTGTGCAGAGATCCAGTGAAAGTTCTGATCTTTATACACACCATACACAAATGCTTACTGTGTGGAAAAAGCTTCACTCGAAACTGGAGCCTCTTAACACATCAAAGATACCCAAAGGGAAGAAACTGTATAAATGGTCAGATTGCAGTGACTGTTTCTGCAATAAAGCAAGCTGCATCTGGTATCAGCAAATCCGCATGGGAGAGAAATGCTATAAATGCTTTATTTGCAAGAAAAGCTTCAACCAGGGTACCAATCTTTTCACCCACCAGAGGATTCACATGGGGGAAAAACTGCAGGTAGACCATGACTTAAGACAACATTTGGGATTGGAATTTCTGTCACTAAGCAATGCGGTTGTAAAGCATGACTGCATTGCTTACTGACAGCTATCCCTGCAGTCCCGGTTCCGTCATTAACTGAATCTCATGGTGATTAGGCAAGGCAACTTCCTGCTGACTTCCCACAACCAGAGTCAGTGGGGAAGCCAGCAGGAAGTTGTAATTCGGCCCGCAGGTAAGTGGCTGCTGCTGGGTGGGGGAGGGAGTAAGGTGGTGCCTGGGGTGGGGGAGGGTTGGGAAGGGTGCATGAGAGGTGCTGCACCTGTTGGAGAGCTTGCGTGGGGGTGTGGTGCCAGTCGGGGACGATGCATGGAGGTGCGCCATGGGTCAGGGAGAGTGCATGGGGGTGTGCAAGAGGTGCAGCGTGGGTTGGGGAGGTTGTGCAGGAAGTGCAACACAGATTGGGGAGGGTGCATGCAGGTGTGCAAGAGGTGCCACACAGGTTGGGGAGGTTGCATGGGAGCACAGCACAGGTTGGGGAATGTGTGTGGGGGTGCAAGGAAATGCGCAAGGATGCATGGGGGTGCAGTGATGATCAGGGCTGTGTGAGTGGCTGGTACAGCACAGTGACTGGGGAGGATGGGGGAGACTTACCAGTGACTGGTGACCTTCCCTGCCAGCTTCCCCATTGACTCTGGCCAAGCCGGCAAGGAAGATTGCAAATGGTGATCACATGATTGCAGGGTGGCTGGCAAGCTGTTGTAAGTGCAGACAGGTTGCCAAGCACCCAGACCATGATCACAACTTGTGGGGGTGCTGGGATGGCTGAGGATCAGCCATAACCATCATTTGTTCAGCACTGTTGTAACTTCAAACAGTTGCTGAACAAATGGTCATAAGTCGAGGACTACCTATATTTTGACTGTGGGAAAAGCTTTAACCAGAGTTTGCACTTGATCAGGCATCAGAAGCTCCCCACGGGAGAGAAACCATACAAGTGCTCTGAATGTGGGAAGAGTTTGATGCAGAGCCCAAGTCTTATTAGACACTGGAAAATCCATGCTAGGGAGAATATGTAGCCATTTTGAAAGTGTGGCTGTTCAGATTTGCAGGAGCATGATGCCCCAGAAGGAAAAAGGGAAAAGAAGGAACTTGGCTCAGTGAAAGGCAGTGGGTCTTACAGCAGAAGCATTTGACACAAATGTAAGATATTACCGACAGTTTGGTGTAGTGGTTAAAGGCATCAGGCTGGAAACCAGGAGACTCGAGTTTTAGTCCTGCCTTCAGCACAAAGCCAGCTGGGTGACCTTCGGCCAGTCTCTCTCTCTCTCTCTCTCAGTCCTAGGAAGGAGGCGAGCGCCAACCACTTCTGAAATCTTCCCAAGAAAACGGCAGGGACTGGGCCAGGCCAGCGCTGACTCGAAGGCACCAAGAATAATAATAAAAGGGTCGAACGCGTTGCACGCTGCAGCTCCCAACAGAAGGCACCTCGTCCGTCCGTCCGCTGCCCACGTGCTTGCCCTTCTCTCTCGTCACCTCCGCCCGCGCAAGGCTCCCCCTCCAAGCCCACAAGCGTCCTGCCCCCTTCACCTTCCAGCCCGCGACCCCCACGCTTTAAACCCCCGAGGCCGCCAGCCCGCTGGGGAGCAGAGCCGCCAAAGCTCCGCCTGGCGAAAGAAACGGGGAGCCGGAAGCTGCCCTGGCGG